GCTCAGAGGCACGGCAGTTACCTTAACAAATATCTTGCTTCTGCTTGGTGGGCCTGTCTGAAGGCCACTCCCAAGAACCACTTTTAACCATCCCGTCTAAAAGCATTGTAATGCTTTGTTTATATGACCTCCTGACGTTTGGTCACTTGAAGATTTGTCTGACCCTTTTAATTGTGAGCTGGCCTTCGACCATGCTAAGGCCTCGTCGCTTCGTTCTCTTTGTCATGCATGAATTCATGTATTCGATAAGAAGTCTCGGGACGCTGCAAGCATGTATACAAGTATGCCTTTTGTAGTGCCTTAGTCCTTTGGCTACCTACATACCTTACAGTCACTTATATTTATCTTGCCTAATTTGTATAAGCTTATCTTCTAGCGAAGTCAATGCCCAATTTCTCTGCTCCACTACACCCCCCCTGCCCTACCAATCACCCTTTTCTACTAGGTGTTACATCTCAAAAAGCCACAGCTTATGCCTTCATTTGCCATATTATTTCGTGTATAACCTACCAAAACTTTTCACGATTGATATTGTAGCGACCCGAGGCTCCCAATGGGGTAGTAGAAGGCATAAGTGAGGTTGAATACATGTATTCCGAAAAAATAGGAGAAATGAGGCCTGAGTGTGGCCCGAAGACCAGCCCACGTGCACAAGACCCAGACAAGTTCTAAAGTGATCGCCAAACGACAGATAGTCATATAAACAAAGCATTACAGATATCATTTTTTAAGCATCAACATTACCGGATTCCTAAATATTCCTGGGCTTAAAATAGTGCTGGTTGTAATGCTTTGTTTGTGTGACGACCTGATATTCGACGGCTACCTCAGGATTTGTCTGGTCCTTAGACTCATGGGCCGGCCTTCAAGCCCTGCTTGGGTCCAATTGCGTTGCCCTCTTTGAAATACGTGCATCCAGCTTCATTTACCACCTTCTTCCACTCTGTGAGAAGTCTCGGGGTGCTACAATGGTGATGCAAAAGTAGGGTCGATAATCCATAATTGATTTAAATAGCTGCGATAAGTTTAAGATGATCTAAATCCCCTTGTGTTATGCTACGAGTGACGTTAATAGAAATAAAAATATATAATATCCACCCAAAAGACATCCTACAGGTCCAAAGTCTTTAATTAAGTTAGGGCGTAAAATAGATCTAGGAGTCAGAGTGTTTAACTTTTTTAAAATTTTGTTTGAAGGTTGTGTTGTCTAATTCTGACCAATAGCGTTCACGCTTTTGTTTTTACGATTTCAAGTTCCTTAAAAACGCTGTTGGTTGCTTTCATACATGCAAAGTCGGACAATGGCGTGCAGTTTTCTGCTGGTTCTTCTTTTGGCTTCATTTTCTTCAGGCTATCCAGGTATTGATTTGATAGCTCTGTCGTCTATGATCTCTTGTGCACTCTTTCTTTAGTGCTGACCTTTGGATTTTGGATGATAAGGGCTCTTATTGATAGGTGTATACACACTGATATTTTCATTGAAGGAATCATGAGGTCTAACTCATTCATCAGCAGAAATAGTTTTTGTCTGTGTATTTAGTGGACCTAATTATTTACAAATATTTAGTTCTTTGTCTGGACCTTAATAAGGTGATCGCTCCATGGATTTTTGACGTGTTCATTCAAATATCATTTGATATCAAGTATAAAATTTAAATCTTGGTTCTGACTTGGCAGAATAACATCCAGTGCTCTTATTAAAAGTCTTTTATTTCAAACCACTTGATGAAATTTGCTACAGATTACTATTTTTGTCTTGCGATCTGTTGAACGTTTCTCCTTCCTTCAGAAACATGCTCACGTGGCTTTTTTGGCAAAAATTGTTCTCTTCCTTGTCGCTGTCTGGATAACAGTTGTCAAAATACTGTCAGTAGTCAGGGATGTATCACAGGTTCTTGCAGTCCAGGCTACACTGGCTTTCCCGCCTGTCAAACCGGTAGATTCCTTATGTTTATATTTTTGCGTCTCTTTTGTATTGTACCTATTGCAATATTTTAGAATGTGAACCTGGCTTCTTTGGCCAGGACTGTGAGCACAAGTGCAGCTGCACCCCGGAAAATCGGTGTTCTCATATTAATGGGAATTGCATTCCCCCTAATCACTGTACCTTAGATCGTACTGGTCCAGGTTGTCAAATCGGTAAGCTTTAATCCTTACTTTTCTTATTTATCTAGTACGTTCAAAATTGACCACTTCGCCTACCCTTGAATTCACCTGCACCTCACTTACAATCTCTTGGTCGGTATTCAATAAGTCTATCGATAGTGGCATTCCTGATGTTCGGAAGTATCGGTAAGCGGATGAGGCACACGTTCTCATTGTCGACATTTAGCCTTGAACTGCGCTCAGATACATCAACAAACTTTACTGAGGTACGAACGGTGTCAAGAGAACAGATTGCGGGTGCTGTGCACAGTGTGGTTTACTCAGATGTCAAACCTGGCGAGAGGTATTGGGCTCGTGTTGTGCCAATCTTTTACCTTGATATGGGTGGAGGCGATGGCTACCTGGAGGAGGGTATCGCGAGTCCACCTTCACGGGAAGCTTTTATCCCAAAAGGAGGTAAAGTTATGGGACGAGATTTAGTGTGCGATATAAATGAGACAGGATTGGGTGATCAATTCGAAAGGAAGTCAACTTGGAAATGCTTCCTTGTATTTAGAGGGTTTTCAAATGATGCTATTCTAAAGCTTTTCCTGGACGGCGTGAATACAGAGGCGCACTCAACTATATGTCTGTTGGAGATGTTTAAGTAAACCAGCTAAGAAATTTAAGTGTCTTGCCTTTGTCAATCGAAGGTACACGTGGCGTACAGGTATTCGTAACTTCAATCTATTTTTCAATGGAAGATTGTTTCAATCAACGATGCTGTACTCAGAGCAAATAATTCTGGCGCATTTCAAGGTACCTTTGTATAGCTTTGTTAAAAGGTAGTTTGAGTTTTCTTGGTGAAAATAGACTTGGATTTGAGGAGTTCCACAATGATTAACACTTTATCTCACCCGCTTAGCATGTTTCCAACATCCACTCACTTTGGAAAGAAAGAGAGTAGCAGTAGCAACAGGCAACACCTCATTCACTTCTACACCAACTTCTGCACCACGAGGTACGTTGGTCTGTGCTCTTCAACCCCTTAAATGCCCCATGTGTTTGTGTAATTGCTGTTGTTCTTTCCCTCTCTTGTCATCTAGTTGGAAAGACCGTGTCCAAGAAAGCCCTCAGTAGGCATGCGTAAATGTTTTATTTTCTGCGTTCCAGTCGAATGTTAATTGTCATGTTGCCTGTTGTCAGAAGACAACTTAATCAAATACCAAAGTGTGACGAAATCCAAGCTAAGGTAGAGGCAAAGTGTTGTACAGCGGACTGATGGTGGTGGTTTTTGCTTTTTTGGCTCTTTTTGGGCAGGGAGTCTTTGACGTTGTTGATTCATTTCTAAGTTACTGGATATGCCGATGGACTTTCACATTGGGCCCTGTTGAAGATGATGACACAGTGAAACTCTCTTTGGGCATTTAGGAGTTTTTCAGCTCCTTCCATTCTGAAATACGGAAAAAAGCTCTGAGCAGTATCAAACATCTTGGAACATAATCCTATTGACATACTGACGTGGAAAATTGCATTGAAAATTATCTTCTTGGCCGTTTTATGCGAAATAACGGACCATCTAGCTGTGCTTAATACCTTTTACCATTATTGCTCATATGAAGTATCAACTCCGGTTTCCACTGTTTGTTTTATTGTTAGTTCATGACGTTGTTTGCTCTATCATTCTGCTCCATCAATTTCACCCTCACCTGTTTCAGAGCGCCCGACAGGACCGCGAAACTGTGCCCTGGTGGGGTTGGCTGGGAGATGGGTGGTGTTTCGGTGGGACCACGGCTTAAACTTCTGCGGGCTAGGCGAGCTTATGGGCTATGAGCTACAGCTCACTTCCTTTGGAGGCGAAGGCGATGGAGCAACAGAAGGAGAAATGGTAGTCAAATCGTACCGTACCGACACTTTAACGACCGCCATCGTTGCTGCGGATCTCACTCCGGCGACAAAGTACAGGGCCAAAGTAGGTGAAAGTTGTGGCAGCATGCAACATTGGCCGTTGTGTTGTTACTTATTTGTGTCTCGGATGGCAGTGGACCACTCGATAGTCCTTTTTGAATAACCATTCCAATAATGAAGTAACAAACATCATGAGCTCATGAGTTATCAGCACACACCATTTACCGTTTTTAATAGGCTACATCAGTTCATTTTGGGGTTTCGAAAAAGCGTAATTTTTAGGACTGGAAATCACTGATGCTCGGACAATAAATGTGATAAAACACACTAACTTTTGGGTAAAATTGGATTGATAGATGCTGGGATTTTACCCTCATATCGAGGGAACTACATAAACCTCGTGGGGTAGTCTTGCTAGAGATGAAAGAAAAGATGGATCTTTCAAAGTAAGAATTTCATTCTTATGAAGTTGAATCCAACGTCCTTCGCTAATGAACAGAAATTTGAACTGAAAATGTATGAAGTCTACCAAAACAGAGATTCTGAACCATTGCTTGATACAAATGAGTCGCTTAGGTTCGTTGTGCTCCATGCTTGCGGTT